TTCTTCAAATTATTAAATGTAAACTATTATTAATTATACACCTAGCAATGGGTCCAATAGAGAAAATATAGTTACCATATTTCCAAAGTAGAATCGCATTTTCCAAGACTTCAGAACAAGTAATTGAATTGGCCAAAGTTCAATCCATGATGAGCTTCTTCATAGGAAATATAAGTAGGTGACTCCTGTTATCTGCACAACTGAGAGAGCTTTAGTTTTGAAAAGAAGTTCTTGGTTCCATCGCTGGAAATTATTACTGTGTGATTTATTATAATTACCAATTATCTTACATTATTTGTAGTTTGTATACAGTTAGGTCATGTCCAAGTTTATAAATATATATAGATATATATGTGGTATATATGTTATATATATTTATGTATTTCATATTCACATAAGTGGTCATGGATAAAGTCTTTTGTTGATTAGTAATATTGTTAATTATTTTTTACACTTGTATTGTAAAATATATCAGATATATTTAAAATGTTTCCCATGTAGAAGATTTATATATTTTTCTCTTCTCTGCAATACAGGAATTACCAACTGTATGTAAGATAGCAAAATTATTGCATCTCTAGTCACATGTGAGGTCTTTTAATATTAAGTGCCAAAGTCAGCACAAAAAAAAATCAAGCCTGGAGAAAGCACTGGGAGACATTCCTGTTCATTTATGTACCAGACCTTTTCCACCTGGTTAATTCCAATTGTCAACCAAGTAGGCACTTGCTTAATTCAGAAATAGCAAAGCAATAAGAGCTTAATGATACAAAAAAAAGAGTAAAGATTTAGGTACAGCTAAGCAGTCTTTCATTAGTGACAATTCTTCTTTAGCAGTTGGTTAAAATAGCCTGAGCCCAGTCTGGTGCTGTTCTGTAGTGTGCCTTGTGACCAGCTGGCAGAAAAATACCTCTTGTGAGGTTTTTTGTGTAAAGTTTGGCCAGGTGTAGAGCAAAAAAGAAAAAAAGAAAAAAAATTGTTTTCACAGCTTGTTATATTAGGCTTTTCTATTTTATTTACAAAGTGATTGAAGCTTTATTTCCCAAACAAAACCCAAGTTACTTACCCAAGGTGGTGGAGTATCACCCACATTGTTTCCGTGGGGTGAATCGATTATGCCAGTCTTTTTATTCTGAAATATTGTATTTTGATTTTATTTTGTTTGATTCAGTTACGTGATTATACTTTTAAAGTCTTGCCCCTGATGATAATTTGTCCATAATTGGGCAAGGATTGTTTAGTCTTTATTCTATTGTATGTGTTTTTCCCATTCTTGTCTCTCTTTTTATCTTCAATCTTTGTGAACCAGACTCCAAAACTTCTCTTTTTACATGAATAACAATAGTTTTGTTTTGAATGCTTTATTTGAAATATTTATTGTATCTAGTTTTGAATTTGAAGCTTTTCCATTTTTATCTATTTTTCTGTACTTTTTGTGTGTCCTTGAAAAATGTGAAGGTGGCCCAGCATAGTATTAGGTCAGTATTATACTTCCAGGCTGATACTATTATCTTCCTTGACCACCTGAACAAAGTTTGAGTTCCAAAAAATATGCATAATGCCATATTCTAATGACATCCATCATAATGTACATAATAATAAAATTTCCTAATTATGTGTAGCGTTTGATTTTAAACCTGAACTTGTTGTAATGAGCTAGGCATAAAAGTTCATAGAATACGATGGCAAAGTATTGTGGCTAAACGGGTAAATATGAGTTAACTATTAGGATAAATTGTGTTAGATGTCAAAGGTTATAGAGCATTAAGGGATAGTATGAAAGTGAAAAGGGTAAAGAGGGTGGAGCAAATGAAGTAAGGTGGGGATTAGTTTAAGAGGAAAGGGTGAAGGGCATAGGACTATTGAATAAAATGGAGAGTATCTGTGTCTGAGGGAGGAAGAACATTGTATAAAGAAAACTGTCAAAGGAGTCATTATGAAACAATTGACAGGTAATACAAGTAAAGATGGGTGTTGGAGAGTATAAGTAGAATAACGGTTTTCTGAAGGGGAGTTGGTTGGGGAGGTCTGAGAAACAAGTTTTCTTGAGGAGAAGAGGGTTTAGATGTCCATGGAGCAGAAGATGAGGAGGGTGTAGAAGGGGTGGAAAGTTTAGATTGCTTGGTATGACAAGTAAAGTGAGGAGTAGGAAGAGTAGGCATCAGGGAAATGGTAGAAATTGGAGTATCTGGATTTAAACTGGAAAAGGAATTTTCCCTCTCATCTTGAGATAAAGGATGAGGTCCAATTTGAATCTGAGGACTGCTGCCTCAGATTCGAGCTTTGTACGCAGGGCAGCTCCTATAAAATGCAGTATGGGGGCCACCACAATTGGCACATCTGCATGACTGAGCAGAGCAATTTGAAAGGTCATGACCAGGTTGGGCACATAGAGGGCAGCAGACTGTGGAGCGACAGTGTTTGGCTGGGTGGCCAAAATGCCAACATTTCTTACATTGATAAGGGAAGGGTATATATGGTCAAATAGGGTATTTTCATTTACTGAAAATTTACTGCTGCATCAACATCTAAGGTCATTAGTGGCATATACAGAATAGAGCAATATTGTGAGGCTTGGGGCAAAGCCCCCAGGTAAGAAAAGGTCATACAGAATTATGGTGAAGTATTGTAACAAAAAGATTACAAATGAGTTCACAATTAGGACAATGTGTTACATGTTAAAGATTGTAGAGCGCTGTAGTAAAAAAGCGTAAAGAGGGAATTGCAAATGGAGTACGAAGGCCATTCAGGCCTGACATAGCCAACCTTTCATCCAGGCTCTCACACTTTAAGATGTGGACAGAAGAAGGGGATGAAAAGAAGGAATAAGGAAAGGTGGGGAAGAAAAGACCATGCATATTAGCATCAGTGGTTGGGGCTGTAGTCAAAGGAGAGGCAAGGGTTAGGAAACCAGAGAAATGAAATTTAGATAAGCTAGTTGATGATGGGGCAAGCCTTAATGCCCCTAATAAGGTACATTAAAATCACTATTGGCCATGGTGAGCCTAGGATGAGTGTCGAAAGGAAATGGTCCCCATAAGGGTAAGGGCTAGGCTATTAACCAAGGGAATACCATGCCCATGGCTACTGGAGGTGGTTCAGGACTGGCACAAAGGCAACCTTTCATCCTTTCAACATAGCTCTCACACTTAGGGGATAGAAAAGAGAAGGAAAAAGAAAGGAAGATAAAATACCATGCAAAAGTAAGGCAAGGGCTGAGGTCCAATGTCTCAGTCTCCAACTCCTAAGCCCCCCACACCAATGAGCAAGGGATTGGGTGTGGAAGTGTAATAACTTATTTAAACATCCACTGAATGACATCCATCTGACATCCTATCACTTGCACATATATGGATACATTTTACTGGGAATTGGAAGTAGCATGTAAGTGGTCATAACTTTAAAGCTTGAGCAGGCACCAGTCAGCTACAGTCCACATGTATAAGAGAATGTAAGGCCTTCTAAGGTAATCGACAGTTCAGATTTATGCGAAGTTTCTAAACTCCATGCTCCTAACTATCAATGTTCAGGGGAAATAGAACAGCAACTTGTATAGAGATGGGAGTTCCTCATAGTTTATGGCCTTTTTATATCACTGGATGAGAATGATATGAAGGTCATTTGCTATGAAGTACACGTAAACTGCATGGTATATGTTCTTGTAGATAAAACATACAAGCAAAAATTGCATACATGAATGAAAAAAGAAATGTAAAGCTTGAGTTGAACATGTCAGCTTTAATCTACTTCACAGTTCAGTTTCATATTTTTCTGTGACCATATCTTTATTGTTTGGCTCTTTGAACATAGAGATAGAGAAAAAAAGGAAAAATGATAATAAATAACAAAGAAATGTATTGCATTTGATAGTTTTTATACCTGTACATATTTTTAATCTATTTTTTTTTTCTCTTGCATGTCAATTTAACATCATAATCATCATAAGCTGTTGGGGGCATATAGCTGCATCCACCCTATGCTTTTATCCATGAGGATCTCTCATGGCAAGTCACCAGGTTAGTGCATCCCTGAGCTGCAGTGGGATGGTCACTTCTGAAAAGTGTCCCATGGCTAGAGACCATCCGTATCGAACCGCTGAAATATATATAAATATTTCTCTCTGTCTGTACAGGTGAAACAGCCTGAAGTGGTCAGTCAGTGAGAGGACAGGAGGTCTTGAAATAGACCTTGAGGGAAGTCATAACCTTTCTATTCTCGGTACCATTGAAACTGGCGCTTTCAGTCCATCCATTCCTAATAAAGGAAATGGTCAGTCTCCTTGGCTGCATATCCATCATCCCATATCAGTGATACAGGCCAGGGCATGGTTACAAGGATACAGCAATCCTTAGAGTCTAGGACCTTGCAAAATCATGAAGTAGGCAGCTTTCACTAGTGGTAATCTTCTCTCTAAACATGAGAGCTGACAGTATCTTGTAGGTAGTATGATCACAACCAGGTACAGCATTGAAGTTACCCAGTATAACTGTGATATTCGGTCAAGGATAACAGTGTGGCTCAGGATATCTCTTTAACTCATGTTGGTAATATGGAACAAAACATAAAAGAGAATGTTTGTCTCAGGGAAAATTGATACTAAAATTCTGTTTATAGGATCACAGATAATAACTGCACAGATATATAGGAGAACAAAATATAAAAATGAGAGTAACTATTTCACCTTTACCACCAGGTTTTTCACAGTATGGGTCTTTTATGCCAGGAAAGACTTCACTAAATGAAGGATTTGTATGTATAGCAAAAGTTTTGTTGGTCACCAATCCAAGTGTTTGGTAAAGGTAGACTTATTTCTCAAAGTATTATTTTTCTGTCCTGATTTATTAATTCTGAAGTATCAGTAAAGATGAGGTACTTAATAATACACATGTGGTTGGCGCCAAAGGATTGTAGGATTTTTCTGTGGTAATATTTCAGCTCCAGATCTGCCTCTGATATCAATTTTGTGAATAAAAATGAGAAAGTAATAATAAAAGCCATTG